ACACTCACTTTAACTTAAACACACGCTATAATTCACAATGATTTACACGCTTTACTTACGGCTTGACTCGATTATCCCGTTATCAATTTATCTGCCGGCTTATATACTAAAATAGAGGGCGTCTAGGACGTTCGTGAGGTTCCCCGATCCTTCTAGAATCTCATCACATGTTACCAGTGTCACGTGACTTCCGCTGTCGTAACAATATTTTGAAAAACAAGCACAAATGTTCCTATTTTCCTAAAATATTGTAGTATGCATTACCTCGCCTCTACCAGAATGAATTTTGCATAAACTCTTTTATAGGTATGCTGAATTAAAGTAATGTCTTTATAGAATTAATTAACCATAACTCTTTTTAATCATTAGAGTCAGTTTGTTCATTCATCATCTGTTAATATGTACTGTGAACATTGGATTGACCCAAGTTACTTTAATACTTCTTAGTGATTATTTATATTTTGAACTTCTCCAGGAGTTTTAATGTAAAAATATCGTTCCTTTCTAGTGTGGCATTTCAAAAATATCACGTTCTCGTTCTCTTTTAGCTTTAAAAGGTGAACACTTTAGTTTACCAAATGTTTCGAACATTTTCACACTTACATGCATTTGGTAAGCATATGATGTAATAAGCGCAGTCAAACCAGTTTTGTATGTTGTGGTATTATTCTCACGCTAATTACACTTTGTCATAGATCGTTTTTTATTGGTGTTACTGACCTTTACCACGAACGAGTCTTTAGAGAAAGTTTTACTCTTGTACAATCTTATCCTCTGGTGACAACAGCCATGTAAAGGCTCAGAAATACCTCCTTATTTTGTCCTATGAGATGACCCGTGACGTGGACTCTTGGAAAACTGCTTTTATTGTAATATCTATAGAGTGGTTAGTTCTCTCAGTCTAGCTCAGATTCACCTCCAGATTAGCTTCTGATTCATACTGGCCTCTACATTTAGAGATTACTGTTTTCATCTCGTGCATTGTTTTGTCTGTATAGCATTATGTTTTGTCAGGTCAAAAATTCAGATTTAATTGTTTGTTTGTTTGTTTTGAATTATGCACAAAGCTACACAAGGGCTATCTGTGCTCTGCCCACCACGGGTATCGAAACCCGGTTTCTAGCGTTGTAAGTCCGCAAACATACCACTGTGCCACTGGGGGCTCAGATTTAATTACGTAAACGTTTTGTGCGTATCTTAATTGTGTGTGTGTGTGGAAGGGGGGGGGGGCGAGACATATAATCGAGCCAAATCTAAAGTAAATCTAAAGTGAGATTAATAGATGGAGTTGGGGAGATTCTGCGAATTCATTGTGAAAATAAACTTTCTTGTTGACTAAAATGGTGGTAACCTTTTAAAACAT